GGGGTGTAGAAACAGAATACTTCAGAACGCGTGAACCGTCACTCCCCGCCATATTGAGTGAAAGTTAAAGCCCCGCATTCCGCCTTCTGTTTAGACATGAACCTCGCAAAAATCGCGGCTTTTCTCCTTGCCTCTTCTGCTTTTCTGTGACGTCGGTGCACGTCAGATTTGACGCCGCGCGCGACCTACCAAAGGTGTGCCTCGACCATCTGTTCTACCGTTTTCAAGGCGGCTGTCACCACGAGAGAAAGGGCTAAGCGGTCTTAGCGTTCGGGGTCCGCTCGCGCGAAGAGGCTCGCCGCTTGGGATTCGTATCCTTCCCTTTCCCGTTTCGAGAGGCCCAGCTTGGCTCAGCCTAAAACAGCAGCGGTGGCCTTGACTGACAGCCAACAGAGCCTGTGAGATGCTGTCCGCACCCACGTGATAAACATGCTCTAGGCTACCGCGTGAAGGAAAAAAGCGGACGTTGGCGGAGGTCACACAACCCCGCACGCCATGTTGCGGAGGTGTGTGACTTTACGGTTTCTGAAGTCTTTGGATTGTACGAGTCATGGTCATCAGGCGGGGGTCGAGGGGGGAGGTTATCGTATGTGCTGAGTTAGTAGAGGTCAGAGGGCCTCTTGGAGGTCGTGAAGGGGAGCGGCCCAGCTCGCCCAGGGGTAGGGGATGGCTGGAGGGAAGAGGTTGATTGGGAGGTAGGTAGGAAGAGGAGTTTGGGGGTCCCGGTGCATTCTCAGTGGGGGTTGGTGTTGGAGGGGTGGCCTCCACAGACTTGTCGCTTGGGTTGTTTGAGGCGCCCTTGAACGTGGTGGTAAATGAGGTCGCGGGTTAGGGAGTTGGTCTGGGCTTGTCGTGCGTAAGTCGTGTCGGCCCTAACGAGGAGCTTGGAGCGAGAAGGGAGAGTGCACCATTTAAGTACGTTGTTCTTGGCGGAGACGCCTGCGTTTTCTGTGCTGTTGGGCTCTGCGCTCACTGGGGTCGAATTGTTCAGACCAGGTTGTTGGGGGACCCGGAAGTGCCCTTACGCGGGCCGGAGCGTGGGATATGGATATGGATATGGGCCTTCAACGCTTGCGACTCGAATTTCCCGAGGGCTCTTTCGGTCTTGGTGCTCATGGCGATAGCAGAGGTTGTGTGCTCGGGGAGAGTGATAGCTTCTGTAATAGCCTAAACCTACGCTGCGATTAAGGATGAGACGTCCGGCTGGAAACGTGTGGAAGTCAAGTGGAGACCTACAACGGCGGTAACGAAGTGGGGGGGGAGTGGACTTTCGCGTCCGTGTAATAGGTCTCGTGTGTGCGTGTGTGTGTGTGGGGGGGGGGGGGGGGGTTATGGGCAGGTATGACACCCTGCCCTCTCGACGTTTTTGGTCCCTCTCGGTGTCCATGTGTTTGTGAATGAGGCGGGCGTTGATTCTGGATATACTGTCCAGGGCGGTGGTCCAGACGGAAATGATTAAAGGCAGGTGACACGTGGGGAGACCGAGGAGTTTGAGAATGGTGCTTGTTTGGAGATTGTGCATCTGTGGAGTTGAGCTCGGTGGTGAACTGCTGTTCATTCTTCAGTGTTATTGAAGAGGGTGGTGCGTCCGATCAGAATATTTGCTGCTTGTGTGGGCGACTCCGAGTGCCGTACCGGTGCACTTCCGCAAGGCTGCCTGAAGCTTGTTGCGTTGTGTTGCGGTTTGGAGTTGATGATTGTACGCATGGATAAAACGAGAGTACCATAGCTTCGATGACTTTTCGCAGCTCATGTTCACGTAGTTCCTGGCGTTGTCGCGTGATGCGTCTTATCATGTGGTGGATCTGTTCAATTTGGCTGAAGACGGTGGTAACCCAAATTGTGATGCGACCGTCCTGCTGAAAGATAAAGCCGATGGTCTTGATATGGGTTTACTGAGGTACTGTCTAGCTTTAAGTGAAGCTTGATGAGGTCTCTGAAGACGTCAACTCGTTTGGTGTTGTTGTTCGTGACAAGGATAAGCTAGAACTTCTTCGGAAAATGGGTCAGACTCATGCTTTCTGCGTCGAAATTGATGACGTCGATGCCACTCTACAAAATAAATTTTTGTTGCCCTAGACTTGTGGTCCTATAGTAAAGAGTACGGTTGAGGCCAGGGATGGCTGTCAATTTTGAAGGGAGGTTCTTTATTTCAAGGTTAAACTAGATATGGGTCGGACGGATTTTCATTTGGGCCCTGAATGCGCAGGGTGCTGTTTGTGAGAAAGTTTTTGAACGCAGCTTTTAGGCGCCTCTTTCCGGCTTTAGCGGTGTCGTCGTCGGCGTCGGCGTCACCGTCGGCGTAACCGCGCGGTGCATTATGGGCAAATTTTCTCGCTAAATTTAGCGGAAAAATTTCCACGCTAAATCTAGCGGAAACATTTCACCCGCTAATTCTAGCGGAAAAATTTCCCCACTAAATCTAGCGGAAAAATGTCCCCGCTAAATCTAGCGGAAAAATTTCTCTGGGAGTCACGTGAACCCCCGAGGTCACGTGACCCTTCCCCCTCCGAGAACACGTGACCCTCAGTACCCTTCCCCCCTCCTCCTCAAGAGCTGCGCTCTAATTCGGCGTTACAGGGAGTTCTAAACGGCTTACATTTTTGATGGATCAAATAGACGCATCCCCGGTCGGGTTTCAGCCTCGTTGACGAGTATTGCAGCCTGATCCACGTTGCCGAAAGCCTTTTCAATGTCGATCACAACTATAGTGCGGAGCTCGGCCGTGCTTGAAAAGGTAAAACACTTCCTGTATCCTGCGTGCCACGTCCCGAGTGCTAACGTGAGAGCGAAGACCCACCATCATGGGGGAAAGTAGGACGTGATTTTGGGGGTGCCAGACGAGGCAATGTAGGACCATTTTTTATAACATTTTCTAGGCAGGACGGTATGGAGTTAGGACGGAGATTAGTGACTGTCGTGGGCGGCTTGCCGGGTTTAGCAATAGCGATGATGATGGCTTCCTTCCATTCAGGTGAGATAGTTTCCTTTCGCCAAACCTCGTTGATGTGTTCGAAGAGTTTGGTTAGCCTGTTCTCCAGGAGGTTGCGCAATCCGCTGTATACTGTAAGCGCTGAGGTGGATCATCTCAGATAGAGTGAGGATGAGTTACGGGAGCGGAATCGAGCGAGGAAGCCCAAATGGCGTGAAACACTCAAAATCGCTCTCAGGAGGTGGTAAAGAAACGGCAGGGACGTTACGATGACAGAGAATTACGTGAGTACCGAGCCGCTGTCGCTATGAAACACTCCACGGGTAGCGTAAATGCTCTCTGATTTTTTTGCCCGAACACCTAATCGGCTGTTTCAATGACCTCATAGTCTTGTAAATATTTACGTGAAACGCTCTTTGGCTAGGTGTTCTGCATTTTATGAAGTCGGGATAAAAGCGGAAACGCGAGGTTTTAGACTTATTGGTTGAGACTTCAACATTTATTGGTTCACGAGGAGGTCATATGGCCAGAGGGGTAGGCGAGAAGGAGTGAGGTAGACTAGGAGGAGCTTGACCACCCGTGAGCACTGAAGGAGAAAAGATTGCGAGTATGAGAGGCTCTGGAAGATCGCCACGTTTATCAGCCCGATTATGGTGTATGGCGTCATTTTAGGAACATCTATGAAGTGTACACATGGTACGCGTTAAACTTTATAATGAAGAGCGCCGAGAACGTAGGCGCCTGGCGTCTGAAAACTCGAAGAATCGCTAAACGTGTTTCAAGCAAGAACGCTTCACGTACCAACACAATTGCCTAGCTTTTTGTCATAATTATTTTAGAGCCCCACGGCAGCAACGAATACAAGGCGATCCGCAATTTTGGCTTGGTCATATTCTCCGAGAACTATATGTGGAAACACCATGCATGTGCGATCTGCAACATATAGCAATTGATGCCTAACTTTGTAATTATAATTTAAAAAATTGTGTGCATTAAAGCTCCCGCATAACGTGCGTCACAGCGACAGCAGCTCGATGCTTGCGTGAACCGGTAGAATAGTGACACCATCGACGTTTCCGTGCGGCCTCTTGAGCTCTATTGTTAAAAGATTTATTTTTCGCTTTCGGTTTTGTTTGTTTCTTATCCGTAGCTAATCTACGAAGAGTCTTGTCAGCGCCCCGTAACTAAAATTTGCGTTCTTCTGACCCCCGAACTTTCGAAGGTCTAGCGATATGGCGTGCAAGTTCGTCTGCACGCATGGTCGTTCGAACGAGCAGGCACTGCGGTGTTTAGACTACAGTCACCGCGACTACAGCCAAATGTGTTCGAGCGTGTGAGAAGACAGTGGCAGCGCTGTGCGATTCCTAGCAGAGCTAGTTTGGGGGCACATCGCACGTAGGGTCCGAAGTAAAGCAAGGGTTCCGTCAGTAACTCATAATGAATTATTCTTACATGAGCATCGCGCTACATAAACGCCTGAGGCCACAGTCAGCGTTGGCTTCTCTTATACAAGACTTGTCTTATACAAATCTAAAAGTAATTTGTAATTTAAGCAGAAGTTACTCAGAAAAAGTAAATAAAGTAGACTACTAATTACCGCAATAAAGATGTAATTGAAAGTTACTAAACTACTGAGGAAAGTAGTTAAACTTCAGTAACTTGAGTAGAGTAGTTGAACTGCGTACAAGTATGCTTCAGTGGTAGTTTTCTTGAAGGAAGACCATTAAATTTCCTGAGGGCTGCCACTAACTGCTGTCCTTTGAAGAATGCCTAAAGGTGCATTCTCGCTTCTGCAGCACTTAGTGCGCTTTTGACATTGATAAAGTTTGACTATCTCGAACGAAATAGGTTCTCTCTTTTAGAATGGTAATTTCATAGACGAGGTGCGCAAGCTTTATAAAATAAGCGCTATGAGCTGACCAGCTTATGGTAAATTTACACGAGGGCTATGCATTTCATTTCTTGCATTATTATGTCTGAGGAAATACCGAAAAGCAATCGGCGCTCTTAATTTCACATTTCCTTGTAAAGGTCTTTAAAGAAAAGAAAATTTGATAGGGCAACATACCTTGTCATTTAGAACCATTTTTGGACTTCTGTGAAGCTTCCGGTAGTCGTTGTGGATTTTCAGACATTGCTTTCGAAACTTTGTTAAACCCTTCTAAAGACAGGAAATAAAAACAAAATTGACGGTTTGGTAAATTTTGTTCCGCAAATTTAGAAATTCGTAAATTTCTATGACATTTAGTTTTGATCTAGACCTGTATTTATCAGAGTGAAAGATTAAACTCCGTAGCTCAATACAAAAGTAACATGGAATAATATCTTAGTAGTTGTTAATATTCTATATAATATATGCTTGAAATTCAAGCTAATGAAAACATTTTTCTCCAATGTGGGATAGGGTATATTTTCCCTAATCAAAATAAAATTATTCTATAAAAATTATTCGTATATTTTAGCTCCAGAACTGGCGTAAAATTTTGGATTATAATATTATAATGTCAACAACATATTATTTGCACCTAAGAGGTAATCCTGGAAGCTTCTGTGTGTGTAAGTTTTCGACCTGTGCACGTACCTTTTCTTTCGGAGTGTTGGGATATTGACCTGGAGAAGTTTATACAAAATAAATATAGTCAATATTATCAATGTAACGTCGAATAAAATCTGGCATTTATAAGAAAAATGCAAATATATTTGACAGCTATTATTAACGCTTTTACCAATGTCAGGCTCATTTCAACTGTAATTGTCACTGAGCCTTATTAATACCAGACGCATTTCTTGAAGCGCCACTGACAACAACTCATAGACAAACGGAAAATTTAGAGTGAACCTATCCACACTTAGATTATGCAAAGGATAACAGTCAGAACGCGTGTCGTCTAGCCATGCCACTATTTTCTAGCCAACTCACCCAAATGGGATGAGGGGGAGGTGGCAAGTACGGCCTTCAACCATATGAGTGACCCATTGAACGAGGCAGTTTGAGCCGGCTTTGCTGAATTAACTTTGGACAGGCTTGAGTACATTAAAATGTTGAAATAAATCAACCTTTATTCTAGACTCGCTCTCTCTCTTCCTTTCTTTAAAAGAACACATGTTTGGTCAAAGCGTGCTTAGCACGGACGCGTCAGCTGCATAGACGAATGGGTCTTTTATATTGAGGGAGACTCTACTTTTCCAAAAAGGCTTGTAATAGCATTGTAGGTCGGGACCACAGGTTTTCTTCACCTGCATAGATTTATTAGTGTGAAGAAGTTAGAGTTGCACTAATCGAACTTCTTGAACCTTGGCGGTAGCTTGAAATATCGACACAATTGATCGGTCACATGTGGCTGCTAATTGAACTAGAGGTGTCTTTTATAAAATTACGCCTATGAATAATAGTGCTGTTATTTTAGAGCATATATATATGCAAGTACTAATTACGGCGAAGGGGAATCATTATAAAATACTGGCTCTGAAGCTTCTACACGACTGTGCCTGTACAAATGTCTCTAAATCTGCAATCTGCACTTAATACAGAGAACATAGACACCTCCCTCGAGTGCGTAACTATGATAGATAGAGTCGTATTATCAACTAAACAACTATTCTGTAAATTTATATGTTAACAGATGCTTTTATGAGGCTGCCGCATAACCCAGATAATAATACTTGCCGGCGACAATGTTCAATACGATACACAGGGTGAGCAATGATTTCAGACGAAAGAAATTCATATCGTGTTATTGCAGTGAGCTGTTAAGCACTTGATTGCTTTAGAAACATTCCGGGTCTATATATAGAGAGGCTAGAAGTGCTGTTTTTCGGCGAAGCGCATGTTATGCGCGACGTTGACACAGTGTAAGCATATCCCATTGTTTGTGTGAAACATATGTATGTTCCGCACAACATAGGTCACCTACCTACCTCAGCTTTGTTGACCTGTATGTAACATTTCACTCGAAGAATTTTTCTTTTAAGAGTCTTTATATCTTAATTCGTGTTATATTTTGACCTTCCTAATATAAGCCAGATCACAAAGGTAGGTGTAAGTGCGAATTTTCTGCCAGTCAAAAAGCAATGTTGAATTTTAATTTCTCTGAACGTGCTGCAAGTCTGAGAGTGATATTTTGAGGAAACTGCCCGTTTATCGTATTGCTGGGGTTGTGCCTTCTTGGAGTTTCATTTCGAGAAAAAAGAAATAGGTGTGTTTGCAAGAGTTTTGTTTTAGCTGACAGTCCTGTATTCCAAACTTTTCTCTTTTGTTTAAGAAATTCAGAGTTTATTTGACATCATGATGGCGCTTAAGACGAGGACAAAAGGGAGACTAGACAACACGGAGCGCCGTAATGACGCCGAATTCCCAGTACCAACTAGCCCAAACATCTGCATTGATTCAAATTTCATTGGATGTTTTGCGGCATAGGTCTTAAAAAGAAAGCAATAGTTCGCGAGTTTAGTAAGGGGGCCATTTTAAGGGAAGGCAGGTGAGATTTCGACAATACAAATTAATTTGTTAAGAATAAGAAAAATATTTGAGTAGACTCATCTACCTTAATGAAACCTCTCTTCAGATTAATTCGCCCAAAAATATATTTGGTTTAAGTATTTAGAAGAATCGAGAGGAAAGTAAAGCATACATTGCCAAAAATCTGTATCTCCAAAGCCCTGCAATGCGTGGAATTCAATGTTTAAGGAGTGATGGTATAAATGTTTTCAAAATACGTTAAACATATTGGTTTTTTGGGAGTGAAGCTCATATTGCTCCTTAATTTCGCCGCTAAAGTTAGCAAGAAAAATTACACCTAGTAAACTGATGTCATAGTGATGTCATAGTATCACGTGACGACAGAACTTTACACCATGACGTCACGTCACGTGACCTGACTCCCCCGGTGTGGTCACGTTTACTGAAGTCGCCACGTGACGCAAGATCACGGTGTAAATTCGAGCTGTCACGCGATACCCAGACGCTACGTCACACCAATTTCTCATCTAAATTTAGCGGGATAATGTAAGGAGAGATGAACGAAAAAACTCCTCGAATTAAGGGGTTCCGTTAAAAAAATATTGCAGGGTTTCAAAATACAATTACAATGGTTTTTCCAGGATTTCAATAACATATACGCTTATCATCTTATATTTGTGAGCGTAAGTACGGTTCAGGGATCCGGTCTCTGACTGGTGTGTTTAGCGTCCCAACCATCCATGCATTATAAGTGATTCCGAAGTGGCAGAAAATCTCGTCACAAAATCTGGAGTGCCATGCTGTCAGATAGCCCTACCCTACTGGCTGGTCGTAGAACTTCGGGCAAAAGGCACGTGCAAACGCGAGCGTCGCTGTCATCGCAGCATTCAATCTTCTGAGAGCGAATGCTTCCCTGGGCTGTCGAGCTGGGGAACGACCTGCAGCACAACCAGTGTCTGCCACAACCACCATCGCTGCTGTGACGCCGCCAGGATCGCGGCGGCCACAGCATGACAATTCTATGACGTCACAAGACGGAAATCGAGGCACTACTATATTTTACGCGTTAAACAACTAGTTGGAGATGGGTTCCGGGCACCATATATCGTTAGGTGCCTTGTTTTCTATCCGACAACAATTGAAACACGCATGTATAGATAGCATGGAAGACGAGAGACATTCTTTGTTCTTTATTCAGGAGAAACACGCGGTGCCTCTTGCGCATTAGTGCAGGCATCACAATGTACTCTAATATAAATCGGCACTCTCGCGGCACACTGGCTTCGCTGGTAACGAATTCCACTGTAATATGGTACGCAAAAAAAAAGAAGAAGAAAAGACGTTTACAACTCCCAGTGATGCCGAATTAGAGCACAGATCTTAAGGAGGAGGAGGGGATGGTATGAAGAGGAGAGTATGCCACTTCTCCTCATCCGTACCCTGTCCTCCTCCTCTACTCCTCTTCCCCTTCCCATCCTCCTGCTCCCTCCTCCTCTCCCTCACCTCCTTTCCCCCCTTTTCCATCCTTCTCCTCTCTCATCCTCTCATTCTTGTCCTCCCTTCCTCCTCCTACCCCTCCTTCCTCCCTCCTGACGTCACTTGTGAGCCTAGTGATCCTCGTGACGTCAATCGTGAAGGCCTCGTGAAGGTCGTGACCTTCACGTGATCTTCACTCTGAAGGTCGTGACCGTCGTGACCTTCATGAGTGACCGCGACGTCGCTAGTGACCCAAGTGACCCTCGTGATGTCACTCGTAACGCACAGCGTCAAAACCGCACAGCGTCAAAACCGCACGGTGACAAAACAGAAGGCGTCAAAGTAGCACGCGACAAAACAGCACAGCGTCAAAGCGGCACAGCGACAGAAGAGCACATGCCAAAACAGCACGGCGTCAAAACAGCACAGCGACCGAAGAGCACATGTCAAAACAGCACGGCGTCAAAACAGCACAGCGACAGAAGAAAACACGACAAAACAGCACAGCGTCAAAACGGCACAGCGACAGAAGAGCACAAGCAAAAACAGCACAGCGTCAATACCGCACGTTGACAAAACAGCACGCGTCAAAATAGCACGCGACAAAACAACACAGCGTCAAAACGGCACAGCGACAGAAGAGCACGTTCCAAAACAGCACGGCGTCAAAACAGCACACCGACAAAACAGCACGCATGTAGCAACTTCCGAGCGCGCTCTTTACCTCTCTCTGCGCGAATATTTTCGAACCTCTTTAACCCTTTTATTTATTGTCGCTAGGTTATAAAGGAATTTATTTCCTATTTCATTGCTAAGTCACTGTCCCGACTGGTGCTGCTGTGTTATTGCTAAAAACAAACAAAGTTTGCAGTAGTGACTACTACTTAACTACGCTGATTTCTGAAGAGATTGGGTAGTTAGAGGTGATATCTTCTCGTCGCTGTTGGGTGCGTTGTCTGGTTTTTTTTTTTTTTTTTTTTCTTCTTTTTTGAGAACCAACGAAAGACGAAAAGTTATTGTGAAAAATAAATCCATAAGTTAAAGTTAGGAACCGTCTGGTTTGCGGCGGTCCGGCGAGGTTCCGTAGTACTCGTGGTTCCGTAATTGCCACCTAAGCGTAGAACGTCCCCCCCCCCCCCCCCCCCCCCCCAAGAAAAAAAAAAAACGGCATATGCGCCGATTACAGATGCATTGATAGAACCGAGAAGACAAGGTAACTTTTATTTCGAGCGAATTCAAGGTGTACCATGGGAAACGATTCTGCGGGGTACATTCGCCGTGAATAAAATGTCCCGGAAACACGCGGCAGCAGCTTGCAGGCGAGAAGTTGTTTTGAGCTAAATTCACAGACTATTGCCGACGAAGGCCTCGATTGAGTGGAAACCGTTGAAGCAGAAACATGTCACAGCCGTCTCAATGCTGTTGCCGTACAGCATGGGCTAAGCACACCGTTGCCACACACACTTTCTGTTTTTTTTTAACAACTGACAACAGCACATTTCCGTGCGGTTGATTCATTTATTGTAGACGACATCACCAGCAAACTTAAGCGTCAATATTAGCAGAAATGCTCGAGAAATAGCCAGATTACGCAGCAGCGGGGACTTCGGTACTGCCCAGGGAGCCTACGTGTGCGCATCGAGTACACTCCCCACTCCCAACTTGCTCCCATGAGAACGGATTCAACAAACTGGCCATCGACGGACGAGATGACCTTCGAGGAATTGGACGATCCTTCATTCCTTTACACTGCCTACTTTAAGACATGCATTTTTTAACTCCATCGCTATCAGCGTTTTCGGCTTAAACCGATAAAACCGATAAAAGTACGACCAAATCTTTTTTTTTTATTCGTTTTTAACTGAAAAAGGTCAGTATTTTCGGGGGCGTTTGGAGGGGTGGGTGGGGGAATGTGCTTCATTACTGACCGTATGTCCACTTCCGCAGTTTTTAGCCTGTCTCCGAGATCGGTTCAACCTTCAACAAAAGTTGAACCGACGCAATGGTCTTCAGGACGAAATGTGGGTTTTTCACCTAATAAGGATTTGTGTGCCGAAGTCTTTCTTCAAAGAAGAGAGTTTAACCGTGAACTGAACAATAAAATTAAAGGGCATCCGTAAATGGCGCACATTTTTTAACACCCCTAGCTTCCGTCTACTAGAAGAGGGCATAAATACGATATATTTATTCATGTTTCTTGTACTGCGCGAATTAACCACCTCTTGCAGTCGTGAAAATGGGGGAAAGACGAATTGAGTACAATGCTTGCAAATTTTAGGATTTTGATATTTGCCTCTCCGACCGAAGTGGTAGTAAAGCTTATGTTCGTCCTGTGTATAAATACGGGCCCACGACGATAATATCAGATAACGGTAAGGCCCCATTTCGTCTTGCAGGACAGGTCGCGTCGGCTGCCACAGACAGCAACAAATAAGAAATTCAGTACCTGGTTTACTTTCTATTCATTTTAAACAAACGCCTTTAAATATGGCATTATCGTCAGTATACTGGTTTTGGTCAATAAACCAAAAAAATGAAAAGTTTATGAGTTTACAAATATACTCAGCAATAAACCGAAAACTTCTGCATGAAAAAAACCTAAAAATGTACGCCGAATTTCAAAATAATTAAAACCGAAAACGCCAAACCCTAGCTCTATTGTTAATGTCCTCCTTTGAGCCTGTGCTGTTCTGACGCTGTGCGGTTTTGACGCCGTGCTGTTTTGGCACGTGCTCTTCTGTCGCGATGCCGTTTTGACACTGTGCTGTTTTGTCGCGCGCTATGTTGACGCGG